ACAATGGGATGAGCAACTTTGAAAACTTATCCTCTAGTCCTAGTGATCAACAGGTCATCACAACACAATCACATAGTATTTATCACAATAGCTCAACTATCAACTCATTCATACAACATTATATACAACTTGAATGCAACAACCTATGCAACATCAACTAATGCGTTGTCACGTATATACAACTAGGAGATCTCCAATAACTGAGGTTGAGCAGTCTAGGTGGCATAAACCCTACCGAATCCAGCGTTTGACCTATCTCAACCAGGTCAGGTATAGGACATCGTTAGAAACTTCGAAGAGAACCAGGTATAGACAACAATAAGTGATTGCTCAGGTGTGCCACTTAGACTCAGAGGTCTAGTACTACTGTCAGGACAGAAGGGTTTGGGTATGAGCCTACCACGGCCTTGGCTAGCATCACCAATCCACATATGGAGTTAGCCCACCCACTGTCCTCCAAGTACCACGCACCCTCCAGTACCTAGTCAAAGACTACATCTCTAACTAGATATCTTACTCAAATTGGTCATTCAACCATGACATAGATCGACTACTTTCATGTCACCCACACAGTACTAAGGGATTCAACTTTAAAACAACTTTCAACTTATCTCATTAGTACTATGTATCTCAACATAGGACATATATCTTCACCATATGTCCCCAACTTTTCAACTTTACAACAATAGACAACTTTTACAACCTTACAACAATAGGTAACTTATACAACTTTACAACAATAGGCAACTTATACAACTTTACAACAATAGACAACTTATACAACTTTACAACAATAAACAACTTATACAACTTTAAACAACTTTTACAACAATAAACTACTTCAACTTATACATCTCAACTTATTAATAATTCAACAATAAACAACATAAAAACAACTTAGTTTCACCACATACACAACATATAGCAACTTTAACAACATATCACATATTATCAACACACAACATATGAACAACTTAAGCCAACAACTACTCATTCATCTTCATCAGGAAACTTAGCAACTTAACCACGTTATAAAAAACTACTAAAACACAAGAATAGTTACATGCAACCACTAATTTAAATCAATCATTTTTTTTCTTTCAAACAACAAAACCCAACTTTTTAACTCAATCCGCACCCAACAACTTAACCATTTTCAAGGAAAACAATACATGAAGCTTCCCTAACCTGAAGATTGGCTCAGCATTGCCAAGAGCTGAGAAGAAGCGGAATTTCCTTCCGAAGCTCAACCTGGGAACCTCAATCTTCCAAAAACAAGCTTCCTGGCCCATAGTCCTTCTCTCTAAAACTTCTCTCTAAAACCTCTCTCTAAGTTTTCCTTTTCTCCCCCTCCTCAATGCCTATTTATAGAGGTCAGGAGTGGCTAGAACAGCCCGTTTCGAATCTGGAACGGCTCGTTCTAGGCTCCTTCATCAAGTATAAAATTCACATGCAGAACGGTCCGTTCTGGCACGTCTAGAATGGCCCGTTCCCAAACCAGAACGACCCGTTCTGGAGTTGGATTTTACTCATAACAACCACGTTTGAAACGGACCGTTTCGATATAGGATTTATAGGCCAATTTAGTAGTTTGAAACGACCCGTTCTAGTTTGGGAACGACCCGTTCTGAGCTACTAAACCACCTATTCCCTTATGAAATACTTACTGCGTTACATAAAATATGTTTTTTTATTCTTGTTCTAATTTGGAAATGTATCATTTTTGTTCTCAAAAATTGTTTAAATGTTACTTTATAAAAATAAACAAATAATAACAACACAATATATAAGTAAGTTGAATCCTATATAAAAAAAGTAAATTGAATGAAAAATATAGGTTAAATTAATTTCTTAGTTCTTATAGTATTTTTTCATGTTTTTAATTAAGTTCCTATATTTGAAAACACTCTAAAGATTCTGATAATTTTAAAAGCTTGTAACTAAATCTTCCACTCACTGGTGTCATTAAAATTTCGTTAGTTCATTGTTCATCGGATATGTTAATTACATTTTAATATTGTAATTACCCTTTTAATTTTATTTGTTTTAAATATTTTTAATTAAAATCCTAATTTTAATAGACTAATTACACTAAAATTTATTATTTATTTCACACTCAAATTTAAACAGTATTTCAAAATTTAAACTCTTTGATTATTTTTTTAAATTTTTTAATTTGAATAAATATAAATTAAAATTTAAAACTGTTGATAAAAAATTTCATTTTAAAAATATTTATTTATTAAAATTTTAATTATTGTAAATTTAAAATATTCAAAAATAGTTATTTGTTATAAATCATAACTATATAAATAAAAATTTTATCACGTGTATTGAATAAGCTAAAATACTAATTAATTTTAAATATTATATCCTTTTTTTTTTATCAAGAAATATTATATTCTTTCTACATATAAATTAGTATAATTATTTTAAATGGTATAATTTTTAAATGAGGGGTTATAATAACACCGATGTAACTTTTACTAAGTATTACATCTTTCAATAACTTTATATTAAATGCGAATTCTGTAAATCCAACCGTTAAATTGAAAGTTCATATCTCTTAGATCATATATACAAAATTTTATATTAATCCAAGATGATTTGATACTTCATTTTTATAAAACAAAATGGACGTAATATATTCATTTCAAAATATACTAAAATATGAACACTTTGATCACCTTTAAATTGTTGTTCAATTTTAACAAAATTTGATATACACATATAAAGTGATATGAACTTTCAATCTAACGGTTGAATTTACAAAATTTATATTTAATATAAAGTTATTGAGTAGTGTAACACTTGGTAAAAGTTACACCGGTGTAATTATAACCCCCCTCTTTTTAAATAGTTATTTACATATACCGAATATATTTTAAAATATTTATTTATTAAAAAATAATTAATCAAATATATTAAACAAGAAATTTTATCTTGTGTGAGAGTATTTTTAAGAATTTTTCTTCAACAAAAAAGTTTGTGGGAATTTTCTTAACTTCTTATCTAATTCAGTTTTTATTTATCATAATTATTTATTAATTAATATTAATATTTTAAAATAAATTATCAATAAAAATAATTTTTTTGTTACAACATAAACTATTTATCATAATTCTAAAACATAATTTATATGTTTGTAAAATATTTATGTATACTAATTTTAAATATAATTTATGTATTCAAACATAGCATTTGCTTATATATAATTTATCATAAATTTAATTATATAATTAACATGCATGTATATTGAACATGTTAAAATACTAATTATATAAAATAGACATTCATTTTATGTATTACAAAAATTAAAATAATAAAATAAAAATAAAATATTGATGACATACATTTTTATTTTTATTTAATTTTTTATGAATATATATTAATTTAAAAAATATCAAAGAGTTTAAAGTATGGAATATTGTTTAAATTTAAATGTGAAAATTCTAAATTTAGTATAATTAACTTATTTAAATTAGGAGTTTAACTAAAAGTATTTAAAACAAATAATATTTAAATATAATTACCATATTAAAAGGTAATTAACATATTCGGTCAACATGAACTAACGGAAATTTAACGAGTTACCGAATGGAGGATTTTAATTGTAAGATTTTTAACACAAATATTTTGTGTTTTTAACCATAAGGATCTAATAAAAAACTTGAAAAAACTATAGAGACTAACAAATTAATTTAACTAAAAATATAATATATCCTTTTGAAATTTGTCAATATTATATTATTATTTAAAAATATTTATATTTATCTTTTTATTTAGGATTCATAAATGTTTATACCGACTACACAATAAATTATTTATATATAACATAAAATTATTGTTCAACAAGCCTATAGAATTGACTTTAGCGATGTTAATATTTAAAATATATATATATAATTTTAATACATTATAATAAAATTAAAATTATGTTAATAAAAAATTATTATTTATGTTTACTTAAATAGGCGAACATGTTAGGGCTAAAATATATATACAAATATAAAATCATAATCCAAATTTGATATTCAAAATATTCTAACTATATGAACAAAATTTTGTATATATAATCATGAGTAATTTTAACTTCAGATAATATCTTAAAGATATAAATTGAAAATTAGAAGAAAAATTTGTATAAGTATATAATATGTTTTTAAGTAAAATTTTAAAAGATTAACATTATCATGTATTATTTATAAAAAAAAGAAGGAATAAATTGGAAATTTAAACTGTCTTGAAAATATATATAATCCAAGGATATCACAAACTCAAGTAAGATGATTATTGGTTCTGTTGTTGTAAGTTTTACTTATTTTGCAAGAATGGATAGCATCACTTGGCAAAGTGGCAAAATGTCATTCAAGTTTGTTGGCAGCCGGTCCTCTAACTCCTTTTCATCAATTTCAAGTCTTTTTAGAATAAGGGTTTATCCAAAGAGGTTTACTTTTTAATTTCTCACCCTTTTTTCCCCTTCTTTCATTCTCACTCTCCTCAATTCCTCATAATTTGAAATTGAGCTTAATGTCTACTATTGAGTATTGACAATTATAATCTAAAATGAAAAATTAAGACAAATAAAAAAAAAATAGAGAAATACTCACAAGAGCACAAGTAGTCCCCACAAAAGTATCCAATACAGAAAATTTTAAATTTTTAAAGAGCCGTTGCCCTTTCAAAATCTAAAACATTGCATGCAAAACCCCGATACCCTCCCAATTTGCTTTTATATTTGGGGTCATGCAAACTTGCATATTGGCGGCAACATTGTGTGGGAGAAAAATAAAATTAAAACAAAATTTGGCAAAAATACACTATTATTACCCATTCCAACTCCTTCTTCAAGCGCGTGTATCATACCTCCACTCATCATCACACAAATAGCGGTTATTGTTTCTTCACTCCACACCTAACCATCACGTGCGTGCCACGCACTCTACTCGCGCGTGTGTTGAAGGATACGAATATCAGTGCAAAACCCTCTTATTTTTCACTCTCACACGCCCTAGTCTCTCTGTGCACGGAAAACAAATTTCAGAGAGAAAAACACACAAAAAACGAAGGGTCTCAGGGAACCCCAAAACCCAGAAACCCAATCTTCACTGAGAAATGGAAAACTTCCTTTGATCGAACCGAAGCCCCATCGAAGAAGTTGCATCGCTAATTCGATTTCTAGGGTTTCGGTTTCTCTCCCACCTTGGACCAACCGGGGCAACGCCGCAGCGGCGACTTTTTTCTTCCGAATCGGAGCACATTCGAGCACCCAAATGAATGGAGAAGACAATCAGCGAATGCCCATTTGCTAGTTTTTGAGAGAGCCAAAAAAGTTTATCATTTTCCGTTTTCCATTTTTTTCATATATTATATATTTTTTCCCCCATTTTTTTGCCGTGTGGTGATTCTTCCGCTTTCTGGTCATGCGATCATCGCCATCTTCATTGGGCTCCTCGTCTCGATCGGGTTCGCGGCTTCGGAAGAAGCACAAGAGGTTGGATGCAATATGTGAGGAAGAGTACAATCGAAACCACGGTGAGTTGAATGAGGATGATGGTGATTTGAACCCTGATGCCGGGGTTCGTCGGAGCTCCCGGGTTCGCCGTGCCCCAGTTTTGCTCGACGCGTCTCCTCCTCCGCCGAAGAAGCGGCGGAGGGTGGAGAAGGGTGGAATTAGTGGTGGTGTGGAGGGTGCCAATAGTTTAGGGCGGGAAAATAGAGGTTCTGGCGGGGCTTGGAGTTCTAGGTTGAGATCAAGAGCTGGCAATGTAGGTTTTAGGGTGAAGGAGGAGGGTGAATCGCCACGTGGGAAGAGGAAGCTTTTTGAGGGTGTGGTTGGAAGGAGGGGTGATGGTGAGGTTGGTGGGAAAGAGGAGTTAGATGGGTTGATGCCGAAGGTAGTTAAGTCAAAGAGACCGGGGAGGATTAAAGCTACAAAGCATGAGGAAGGGCATGAGGAGGATGTTTCTCATGGGAGTTTAGATGAGAGTAAGAGTCAGGATGTGGAGGAGCTTGTGTTGAGCAATAGTGAGGAGAGTGATTCTGCTTCGGAAACCGAATTGTCGGGAGAGGATCAGATGGATGATTCAGATGTAAATGCATCCCCTATAACAGGGAATGAGGAGGGGGAACAGATGGATGATTCGGATGGAAACGCCCCTCCTATGATAGGGAATGAGGAGGGGGATCAGATGGATGATTCAGATGGAAATGCCTCCCCTATGATAGGGAATGAGGAGAGGGATCAGATGGATGATTCGGATGGAAAAGCCCCTCCTATGATTGGGAATGAGGAGGGGAATCAGATAGAGAATTTGGATGGAAATGTCCCTCCTATGGTAGGGAATGAGGAGAGAAGCTTGTCCAATGATCTGCAAATGCAGGAGTGTGGTGTTAACAATGAGCTTTCTCCTGTGGAACGTGTAGATAAAGTAGATGGTCAGTTAGACAGTGTGAAGGAAAGTAGGGATGCAGGTGATGTAGCTGAACAGGTGAATAATGAAGGTTCCAATGGCAAGGAAGTTGACATTGATGACAATGTCTTGAATGAGGCAAATGTTGGGAAGAGGGATGAGTCGAAACATGCTTCAAGTGACAAGCGTGGTCACCAGCGTATCAAAGAGGGCAGGCGGTGTGGGTTGTGTGGTGGAGGGAGTGATGGTAAGCCTCCAAAAAGGTTAGTTCAGGATAATGGTGAAAGTGAGAATGAAGCTTATAGCGGGTCATCATCTTCAGAGGAGACTAATTATGATATCTGGGATGGTTTTGACGATGAACCTAGCTGGCTTGGGCGTCTCTTGGGTCCTATTAATGATCACTATGGTATTGCTAGAATATGGGTTCATCTGCACTGTGCTGTATGGAGTCCAGAGGTGCGATTTTAATTTAGTAGTTTCTGAAACTTGGTTTACATCATGAAAAACTGCATATAGTGAGCTGGATGTTTATGTAAGACTTCAGAGAATAACATTGCAGACTTGCTGATCATAGTGACATTTTATGACCATCTAAAAAAATCCTTTTGGTAATAAAAGTCTTCCTCCAGTAATTGTTATTGAAGCAGAATAAGTGCCAAACTCGTAATAACTAATGCATCTTAAGTTGAAGTTGTGGCATAATTAGGTTCGCCTTTTTTCTTTTGGAATATAACTTACAAGTTACATAAGGGATATAAGATAACAGTTTGCTTTTATAGTGCTTGGCCTTGGATATAGATTAAACACTAGATGAAAGGTGAGATGCTTTATACTATTGAAGCTCCTTCGTTTCTTAAACTTGTTACAGACTTATTTTCTTTAAATATGTTTGTACCATTTCAATTTTGTCACCTGACCCAAATTTGAAATGAACATAGACCTTTGTTTTTGGACCTGAAAATAAACAGTGGCTAGCGTGCTCTAGTATGTTAAGTGGCTCACCATAGTCAAATTTATTTTTCATTTTTGACAATTAGATTACATAGGTGCATAAGATCTTATCATGCCTTTTCTGTATATTATCACCTCCCTAAAAAAATCTTAAAAGTTATATCCACAATAACTGATTGTACGGTGCTCCTTCTTCCTCCCTCCATGGCTACATGTGTCTTTCACTTCTGTTGAAGCCTCTAAAATATCACTATTTGTTCCTCTCTCGAAACGGAGTCAAGAACCAGCTCATCATCCCTTTGCCACCCACTTTCCTTAACAAAGTCATAGTACCAAGTCCCTTTGTCCCTAAGATCATTCTTCCCTGCTACGGAAATCAGCACCTTGGGGCATGAAGAACAATATTTGGTTTCTTCCCCCTCTCTCCCCCCCCCCCCCCCAAAAAAAAA